TGGTGAGCAGTGAGAGGAGCTCTGGTCTGGGCAGCCTGGCCTGCGCCTGTCACCCGCTACAGCTGCACAAGTGCTTTGTTGATTGTGGAGAATAGGAAGGCATAAAGTGAATACAGATCACTTTTCAGAGGCTCAGGTATGGAAGCAGAGCTAAATACAAACGTCTGCATGTGATGCTGGCTAACGAGATTCACAGTGTTTGGGCTTTGTGTTTGGGAATACTGAGAACTTCACATCTCCCTGCTCTCATCCACGTGTGATCCCTGGAGCTCCCTGTGACCAGCCCAATCATGGTCTCTTAAAATCCCTTTGATTCATGCCCTTTGCTCTAGCATCAGAGCAAAAGCAGCTGAGTCAAAACTTGGTTAACATACTTCCTTCCTGCTTTGTATACAAGATATCACCCTTTTTCCTTTTTATTTTTTAAATTTTATGTTAAGGTTATATGTGAAAGGCTAGAGGTGTAGCTGTCCCCAGTGATTAGGCTAGCCCCAGCTTGTTAATTTACAACCAGGAAAATTTCAGCAGTTTGCTTTTCTTAGTTGTGGTTACAGCTGGCATCAGGATGTGCAAACTTGAATTCAAGGCACAGACTCCAATGTTAGTTCCCTTTTTTTCTCTGCTGAATTGTATTTTCTCTGCAACAGATAAGTTTATTCACTACAAGTCCCTCAAATTCATCTTTCAACAAGAAAAGCATCATGGATCTTGCAGAGTAAGTTATACTTTCAGCTTTTTTTTCCTGAAGCTGCTTAAGATTCTCTGCAAACTTTTACATCGTGTGTATGTGAACTTGAATGTGGAGCTGTCAATGTGGAGCTATTGAACAATGCAATATACCTATTGTTCACCAGTTTAAAAGCAAACAATTTTTTTACTTCAGTGTAGCATAATGTTCATAATCCAGGCTAGAAGCAGAAGCTGTGTCTTGCAATTCTGTTTCTTACCCTCTTTTGTCAGGAGCAGTAGGGTTATAATAGTCTAGCCATGTCACTGTATCTCTGATCTAAAACTGCTTAAATAAAGTTTATTTTATACAATTCTTAAATGTTAAGGTACATAAATGGAAAGCTCAGCTTTGCAGATTTCATTTGATGCTTTTTATCATCTGCTGAGAATATTCTGTCAGCCATTGCATGATCTTCAAAATTCAAACTAGATAGATCTGGAAAACAGCAATATAATTTTTGCAAAGTGTTGCTTTCCTTTACCTTACAAAAAATGCACTTCTGGCTGAAATTTCCTAGCTTTCAACTGTTAACTCCCCAAAAGTGATTTTTGAAACTGGAAGCTTCTCTGTGACACAAAATGTTTTCTTGTCCTATTTGAATAAAGCCACAGAAGTTATATCAAACGATGTCAAAATTTGCAGTCAAGCAATATTAAAAATGTGTCAATTCTGTTATCTTTGACTACAGCTTGTTCTTCAGGTTCCTGTAAAAAGTATTTGAAACAGTGTATTTTGACCTGTAATTTTTATTCCAATTTTTCATCACGATACTTGCATCTTCTTATCAAATTACAGAGTAAAATGATCTCTTTGTCTCCACTAGAGTCAGATGCAAAAGAAAGCCTTTTCGTATACTCAAAGGCTTAATCCATCACTTGCCCATCATACTTTTTGTCCAAATCTATCTTTAGGTTACTGTCAATTAAATAATTTTATCAGTCATTCCTACAATTGATGTTCTCATTCCCCTCAATTTTCCTTGTCAAGAATGTTATTAATCCTTTTTGTTCAGTAGGAATTTTAAATCTCGCTGCTCAAACAGAGGAATTAGAATTAGTCTGTAGTCTGCCTTTCCTAGCTTAGCTTGAAAAATGGTCATCTCTCCAACTACATGGTTTATTTTCTTATTGAAGTGACCCTTCATTGTACTAATCCCTCCACTGATTTATTTGTTGTTTGGTTAACTGTAAATGCTTAATGCAATTTGCAGTAGCTGTTAGGTTATGCCTAGTCCTCACCAGAGGATAAATTCACAACGAAGCTCATCTAAAATTTACTCAAGTCAATAGAACAATAGCATTGATAACAAAATTGTGTCTAATGTCTCTAAATTGATACGAGAGACAGGATTACCATTGGCTATCTCACACAACAACATGTACTCTATTCTATAATTGTAACTGCATTTCATAATAATTAAATGAAAGCACAGGGAAAAATGCTGTTTTCAGCCAGAATAAATAACTTCAAATTTTTAAGTAAATGATAATATGGATTAAATGAAAGTTTTGAAACATTGGTCTTGGGGAAAAAAATAACTGCATTTTCGTCACTGGAGATTTAATTTTGAGAGTAAGTGGTAAATCCTAAGGATTCTACTATGTGTTTAGTGGTAAAAATTTCTCTTATATACAATTGATGAGGTAGGATGACACTGAATAAAAATGTATTTTGCAGTATATTTTGGAAGGGTCTGGAGTTGCAGTGGCTCCCTTCACTGTCAAGCTTACTGAGAGGTAATGAATGAAACAGGGAAAAATGTGTCTGATATTTCTGTGTTGAAGTTGTATAGCCAGGTTTGGTTTCAGCAAATCACCAATGAAAAAATAAAATATTAAAAACCACTGCATTCACAGAGTGATGTCCATCTGCATGAAAAATGAGTGAGGTTTTTTTGCTACTTCCCAGGTAACATGAAGCATGAACATATTGTTTAAGATCATATAAGGAAGAAATTTTTCACAATGAGGGTGGTGCAACACTGGCACAGGTTGCCCAGAGAGGTGGTAGATGCCCCATCCCTGGAAACATTCCAGGTCAGATTGGATGGAGCTCTGAGCAATATGATCTAGTTGAAGATGTACCTGCTCATTGCAGGGGGGTTGGACTAGGTGACCTTTAAAGGTTCCTTCCAACCCAAACTATTGTATGATTCTATGACGTTATGTCCACAAAATTGCTAATATTATATTAACAATGGCAATGAATTCTAGGCTTGAGAGATAAGTTACCACAAAAATTTGTCTCCCATACACTGAAGGAATTCTAGTGAAACACTGACATTACAGAAAGTAAATGCTTTATTGGGGGAGTGTCATCATCCACCTAACTAGAAATGTTTCTTTGCAGAAGTTTGAAGATACCTATCTTTGAATCTAATTCAATATTTACCAGGGGACCACTAACATGCAGTGACGTCAGTAACTTGTTACTGTTTTTTCTGCATTGAAAATAATTTTAGATTTTTGAGATCAGTGTTTTAACTCTGAATACAGAGATTTACCATAACTGAGCATGGAGATCACAAATGCAAGGCTTTCTGTGGATAAATTTAATTCTAAGTGGGAAAGGCATGAATTTCTTTCCAACAGAGTATGGATACTGATAGATCTGAATATCCAGGAGCAATGAGGCATTCCACTTGCCAACAAGGCTGTGAATTGCTTCACTGATCTAAAGATTTAATGTTATTTTGGTGGTAAATGAGGACACTGTCACAGAGCTGAAAAGTTATTTAGAGATTTTCTTTCTGTTCGACAGCATTACCCCCACTCTTCAATATTTGCATCTCAGCTGCTCATTGTCAACCTAAACAGAGATAAGTTGAAGTTGAAACTGTTTCCATTTATCAGAAAATGACATAGAATTTCAATATGCAATTATAATTTTGAAAGTAGGTTGCTCTTTAAGTCTTCAAGAAACCTCAATTATTTTTTCCCTCACATGTATAGAACTTCTTTCTTCTTTAATGGATATAGAATAAAGAACATGATTTGTTTGTTGTTTTTATTTTAAAGTAATAATAAGAGAAGGGTCATTTTCTTCATCCTTCCAAAGCCTTTGCTATTGTTTTTTTCCCATTTTCCCAATTTGTAGTTTCTGTTAAATGTAGACCATTTTCACTTTTGCCCATTTTACCACCTGCAGCTCAGTGTCAAACAGAACTAATTATTACAGGTACCTTCTGAATGAAAGGTTATTTTCTGTTTGGAATTACACTGATATCAACTAATAATTTCCTGTTATTACATCAATCAGTGTGCTATCAGAGCTATTATTCACACAACATATATCATTGAAACAAAACTGAGACTACCACGTTAGATCATCTTATCTCTTTTTAAAATTATTTTTGGTTCAAGAAGCACATTGATTTTAGACTAGTTGTGTATAAAAAAAAAAGAAAGAACAGAATAAAAACTTCAGAGTAAGATTCTGAAAGTTAATTACCATCAATAATACTGTGAGAAATGATAAAAAACACTTAGTCTTGATTCCTGCTTCATAAAACTTACAGGAAACTAATGTATTTATCCCATTTGGTTAAAATTAGTCAATAGGTTCAAATCCATCAAGGACAGGTTGCTAGCCAGCACAATTACATAAGCTTCATATCCTAAAGAAGTCAGACTAAACCAGAGGTTTCTCGATGAAGGTTTATCTGAGAAAAGCACTGAGAATTTGAAATATTCTAAGAAATG